ATTTCTATCAATTGATCGCCTTTTCTATTACATTGGCTTCTGGGAAAGAAATCATTAGCTTTCGTTGTATATTGTTGGAAAAAAAAACCCGAACTTTTTTATACATGTCGGAACTTTTCTTTTCTTTATCTTCGTATGGATTAGCATCCAACACCTCAGAGAATATTGTGAGTACTTGTAAAGAGAGTGAGTTTGTTTTTTTTTAGTCTGGAGGGTTTTCAAATCGCAGTTGGTAGTCTCAAAAAATGGCCGAAGTTATTCAAAATATGTTTGAAAGTTCTGATATTTTTTATTATAAAAAATGACCGTTTTTTGATACAAGGTACTGCCGTTGTGCTATGGTGTCAATCCACGAGATACCTAACAGACCTTTTTTTTTTGGGGGGGGGGGGTGTGAAAAAAGGCTTATCAGTCGGGGACAGTCTTATCCCATAACCTCCTGACCACGACATGAAACATCACTTAAGTCAAAACATACCAAGGAAAGTTTCAACTATGTTTTGCGAAATCTTCAGTTGTTTATTGAAAAATAAATCTAATATTATGTAGAAATTCACTTTCTAAATATTGAAAGAAAGCATAAAAATCAAGGACAAAAAAAAACAATATTATGTTGGTAAATCTGTTTAAAAGATAAAGGTTTTGTTTTGTTTTGTTTTTGGTGTTGTTTTTCTCTATCTCTCCTGGAGTACATCCAAAGATCGTTCATATCAAGATAGTTCACTCGGTAAACAAAATGCCCGCGGAAGTCCGCGCATTGGTTCAGATGTCGCTGCAGTCGTTGTTCTGAAGCTCTCTTTCGTTTCTCCATAAGAAGAATAGGAATAGCACAGTTTGTTAGTTTCGCTTTCATTGTTTTTCCCTGGAATTCAAAGACACGTTCAGAAAAGTTGAATACCGGAAGGAGTAGAGGAAGCTGGTGGCTAAAATCTTCAAAAGCGCCATGACAGACATCCAGTTTACGGGAGAGGTGAAGGTGAGGGCGAAGACACTAGTAGGGAGGGTAACTCTGTTCGCAAAGTCCGCCCAATTTTGAGGACACTTTTTTTAATTGGCTCAGAGAGAGGAGTGAACAATCTTGTTATACACGATCTTTGGTGCATCTGAACAGCTTGCGAAGTTATACATTTTAAAAAGAAAGACCAATGTAATAAAATGAATATCGCTCCCTAATATTGGACCTGTTTTGTTTTCGGTTGCATAGTATATGTGAAGCAGTGTGGTGGAATCAGGATCTCGTCAAAATAATCAAACAGAACAAACTTGCATTTTTCTGGAGGTTGGTGAATTTTTATCAATTTTTTAATTTTTGGCTCCACACCATTCATGCCAATTTAAAAACTCATTTCTGTGTGGGTTTTTCTTTAAAATGTCGATTAAAGGCACAAAAAATGTAAATTTTCAATTACCTGGACTCTAAAGTTAAGGAAATGACTAAACTTTGGAGGCCATTTTCTCATTAATTTTACCTCTGAAAACAGATGACCCCCACCTCCTTCATTCGCAAATATCTCGACTTGTATTCAAGATAAATGGATATTTTTTCATCAAGATAAAGACAAATGAACAAGCTTTAAGATGATACCAATAACTCTACATGTCCAAAATTGACGAGAGCCTGATTCCACCAAACCGCCTCACACACACACACACACACACACACACA